AGCCCTACCAGTGCCCCCCCGGCCCAGCCCCCGCCTCCGCCACTTGTTTGCGTTTTTCCAATCAGGGTGATCTCCCCGCCGCCCCGATCCAGGACACAATCGCCTCCGGATCCTCTCTGCAAGACCGAGCACTTGGCCCCACAGGGGTCCTGCCCGCCCACCTTGTGCGGGGTGCCCCCAGCCTCGCCAGCCTGGGGTCCTGCCCACCGGTCGCCCGGCCGGCTCCGCGCTGTCCGGTGCCCAGGGGGCGAACGCGAGGTCCCGGCTCTGCCTTTCATGCCTGGCGGTAGCCGCAGTTCCCCTGCTCTGTCCCCGGTGTGCTAGCCCCGTCGCCCTGCCCTGTCGGCGGCCCCGTATTACTGGGTAGCAGGGCTCCGACTCGGGCCCGTCGCAGCGCCCGTGCAGGGCAGCAATAAGAGAGGAAAGGGCATGTACACAAACCCGGCAGATCTCTCGGACCAGGCCACCCTTCGATCCGAAACCTGTGATTGCTGAGAAGCAGGAACCGGGCTGTGAAACCTCTCCTTGCCTTCAGCGGATGCCATCTCGCGGTTTGGTGGGAAGGATCGGGAGAGTAAGCCGTGTCTCTGCACAGCTGCTCTTCCCCCGAACGGCAAAACCTCCTGCTCAAGCCCGCGCTGACGTGACTGCGCTGTGCAGCGGCACTGCGCCGCGAGCAGCGAGACGGTCACGAAAGAGGCACTGCCATGTGCCGGTACGCCTGTGCGAATAGGGAATTATTTGATTCGGGTTTGGATTCGGCCGATTCGGATGCCAGCAATTTGCTCCAGAGCTCCGAATCAGGTTCCTGCTTCGATCCGGCCGAAGCGGCTCCAAAGCTTTAGCGCCGATTCGGAGATTTGGCCATGGGGTATAATGGGGAATCCATGAAATATCTATAACTTTGTTGGTTTTTGTCTGATTTAGATGACACTTGCAGGGGTGGTAGTCTCTGCTGACAGCATGAAGCCTGCCATGGTTCAAGGAGGTCGGTGCAGGGGTTTGGGGTGTGGAAGCAAAGAACGGCTGAGGCCTCAGAGGAGGAGAGAGAAATTCCTTAGATAAAAGGAAGATGACCGTTAAAGCTGTCTTGAAGGACACAAAACAGGCTGCCCCAAGGCGGGAAAAGCTAGTTTAGGAAACCCTTTGTCTCAAATCTATAAAAGGTTAATTGCCCTGGCTGTAAGGCAGAGAGGCCACAGCAGAAATCTTTCTGTGACGGTCCCTCTCCGATAGCTATCGAAATAAAGTTTCTACCTGATCCGATTCCAAATTCTACAGTGTGTTTCTTCCACGACAATTAAATGGTGCCGTGACTCGGATTCACAGCCAACGACGTGTTCGGAGGACCGTGTGCCGTTCCCCACCAAACCCCAGCGCCACCAATAAAGGTAAGAGGCCTTTTAAATCTCTATTGGGGTGTCGGAGGAGGACTGCTCATAGGCTCCCTGCTCGCGTTGGGTATCTGGATTCGAACCTTTGTTACAGGTCAGTGTAGAACCAAGACCGGTCATACTTCCTGATTACAAGAACCCTTTACCCTGTATTGCGATGGACGAGATGGCATTGCCCTAGGGGTGCTCAGTCAGCTTCACGGTGACAAGCAATGCCCCATTGCCTGTTATAGCTCTGCCCTAGACCCTGTTGCAGCAGGACTCCCGCCCTGTCTCCGATCTGTAGCTGCTGCTGGCCTGATTCCTTAGTCCTTGGACACCCATGAACTGTTGTTGTTCCCCATGCCGTTATGGCCCTGCTCCTGAAAGGCAAAACACAACATATTTCTAACTCCCGACTTATCAAACATGAAAAGCTTCTTCTTTCAGCTGCCAATGTCACTGTAACACGCTGCTCTATCCTGAATCCTGCTTCCCTACTTCCTACCCCATCAGACGGAGAGCCTCATGATTGCTTAACTGTAACTACCCAGCTTTTGACCCCTCGTATCGATCTTAAAGATGCACCACTACAGAACCCGGATCTCCTGCTACATGTAGTTGGAAACATGAAAAGCTTCTTCTTTCAGCTGCCAATGTCACTGTAACACGCTGCTCTATCCTGAATCCTGCTTCCCTACTTCCTACCCCATCAGACGGAGAGCCTCATGATTGCTTAACTGTAACTACCCAGCTTTTGACCCCTCGTATCGATCTTAAAGATGCACCACTACAGAACCCGGATCTCCTGCTACATGTAGTTGGATCCTGCATTAGAGACTCCAAGGGACAGCTCCCTGCTGGCTATGCAGTCTGTCATCAACACCAAGTTTTCGAAGCTTACCAGTTGCCTCATGCCCGCTCTGCTCAAGTGGCTGAACTGGCAGCCCTCACTCGAGCATGTACCTTGGCTAAGGGTCAATCTGCCACCATCTACACTGGTTCCAGATATGCCTTCGGTGTTGTACATGACTTTGGTCAACTTTGGAAACAAAGAGGATTCCTTGCTTCGGCTGGGACTCAGATTAGTAATGGTTCTTA